GTGAGGCTGGGGAAAACCACATCCAGCACCCGGACAATAAGCACAGGTGCCCCCCAGGGATGTGTGCTCTCCCCTCTGCTGTTTTCACTCTACACCAACGACTGCATCTCAAAGGACCCCTCTGCCAAACTCCTAAAGTTTGCTGATGACACAACTGTCATTGGTCTCATCCGAGACGATGACGAGTCAGACTACAGACGGGAGGTTGAGCAGCTGTTCCTGTGGTGTAGCCGCAACAACCTGGAGCTGAACACGCTCAAAACAGTGGAGATGACAGTGGACTTCAGGAAGAGCTTTGGTGTGACCCTGCCCTCCATGGAGGAACTGTACACCTCACAGGTCAAAAGGAGGGCAGAGAGGATCACTGCAGACCCCTCACACCCAGGACACAATCTGTTTGAACTCCTTCCCTCTGGACAGCGTTACAGATCACTGTGCACCAAGACAACCAGGCACAAGGACAATTTCTTCCCCCAGGCCATCACTCTGATTAGCACTTAACCCACGACAGTATGTCTGGACAATAAACCCTCAGTGCAATGCCTGTGTGTATATATACATTGTACAGATTATACAGATTCGTACAGGTAGTACTCCATTTTTATTCTAATTTTATCTCGTCTCCCAATGAACATTCCTTTGACTGCATTGTTTACTGCCTGTTTATACTGTTTATTTTGCATCTTTTGCATTGTTTTTGCTTGTTTATGCTGTTTATTTTGTTATACTACACAGCCTCATGTTGGTATATTGTGTCCTTGCCCCTTGCTGTTGCCTGGCCAGGGGATATGTACATGCACACTGAGAGCTGCTGTACCAGAGTCAAATTCCTCATGTATAGCACACCTGGCCAATAAAGCTGATTCTGATTCAGTACATGAGTGACTACCCTAAAAGAGATTCCAATTGGCTGCTAAACCTAAAGCATGTTTTCCTATAAAGGCACAATGAACCTGATCAAAACAACTGCATGTTGACCGCAGTACTTAAGATGGTTATTTAGACCAAAAAAAAACATTTAACATCAGAGGAAAATGATTCAAAGATAATAATAATGTGATACTATTATCTGCAGATGCACCAGTGCAGAGCATTACCCAGATCTCCCAGCTGCACATGGCCCAACACATACAGTCCTCCCTTCTTTAGCTGGTTCACAAACAGGATTAACTGACAGGAAGAGCGAGGGTTGGCCACCATCAACAACACCTGTGGCCTCCAGAACTTCACGTGGTCTTTCCTCACATCCAGCATCAGCAGATACTTGCGCACCTAAAATCCACAGTGGAGAAAGGAAAGTAGCACTGATGATAAGCTGAACAAGTGCTACATGCTGGATTTGTGTGTGCGTTAAACTGTGCCTGATGGAAAATGAGAGCCTGGCTGATATAGCCCCAGCTGCTGGTGGGTGATCTGAAGTGGAGGAAGAGCAGCAGCAGCAACAGGAGGACAATGCTGCCTGAGGAGTATACAGGATTAATGACGAACATCATGACTAAACAGCTCAGAATCCCCAGCAGGCAGGTGTGCCAGGAGAAGAACTGGAAGGTTGGTCTGTTAAAACACACAGGAGACAAAGAACTGAGGCCACTGGACAAGTGAGAATCAGAAGTAGAGAGAAGCAATAAATATTATTTTTACTGGTCCATAAAATATCCAAGCAAGACTCATAAGGTTCTTGATCCACAGTATATGATGTTGTGGACTTCCCCCAGTTTGATGCCACTGTGCACTTTATTTATTCTCACATTTGCGAACTTGATTGAATGCTTTCAACTGTTTCCCTTAATAGTGATTCATCTTTTATTACCTGAAATTTGGTGCCGATGCCCACTCAAGTGCCAGACAGGCCAGATCAACTGCAGCATAGGCAAGCAAGTAGAAAACTGTCACTAGACTTGCTATTGCATTGAGCTGGCCTGCAAACACTACACACTGAAACACAAACACACCACAAGCCACAGGTTAGGAGGCCAGTTGTAATTCTGAAAAAAAAAGATGAGCGCACACCATAGAACCCCCGCTCACCTGTGCCAGACCCCAGGTGTACAGCACCGCCACCCACGGATTCCCTGAGCTGGATGTGATGGCAGCTGGGGCTAAAGGCAGACCTGTGTGGAAAAGCCAAGGTTTTTCAGGAAGTGACTCAATACACAAAGAAGGCACAAAAAAAAAGCTCAAGTCTCACCAAAGACTTTATCCAGAGCAAGAGCATGGAGGATGCGGGATGCTCCAATCAAAGCACACATCGCCGCTGACAGAGAGGCACAGTATATCCCGATAGTGACGAACGGCGACCAGATGTTTATTCTCTGGAAAAACCCATAATCCTGAATCAACAGGGTCCTAAAATATAAGAATAAAAATGAGTACTCATTTGTGTCATAGCTGCAGCTGGTTATTTGAATGCTGGCTTCTCTTTAATTAATATCAGAAACAGTATCCGGAGCCATGTCAGACCTGTCACAGGTGGCGCCGACGAAGATGAAGAGCAGGACGTATACTGTGAATGTGTACAAGACGGCTACAATGGTGCCTTTAGGGATGGAAACACTCGGAGTCTTCAGCTCCCCTTCAGAGATGTGGAGCAAGAGCAAACATCAGGGTATGCATCTTTTGTGTGTACATGCACCACAAACATATCAGGCAATAACATAACTAAAGCGGTTTAATTACAGTGGGTTAATAAGTACAGTATTTTCTTCTGAAATGTGTAGAATTTGTAGGAACTCAGCAAGTAAATACCAAGTACTTAAAAACTGTACTTAAGCACATTACAGTACTTAGTTACATTCCACCACTATCACTGACATTGCACAATGACACTGCTTTGTGACTCCACATGTATTATTATGACAGCAAGCATTTACCTGACATGTTGGCTCCGGCCATGATCCCAGTGCAGCTGGTGAACATGACAGCAAACACGGTGGCAAAAGACATGACCGAGTTGGTGCTGTAGTCCAAAGAGTAACCAGCTACAGGGGAAAAATGAGGAACAGCAACAGCTTTAATAGACACTCCTAAATTTACAAGTGTCATATAGCTTTGCTTGTAAATGTGCACTTTCATATCCTCATTAATATCAACCCCCTTGACACTCACAGCCCAGGTTGCTCTTCAGTGTGGTAGCGTTGAAGCCCGTGTAGCTGGTATTGTAGCGGAGGGTGTGGTTGTCAGGTCCCTGGTGGGTGATGACAAATGTACGAGGTCTGACTGCTACAAAACTAATGAAGATGGACAGCAAGGATACAGTGACCACCAGCAGAATGACAAAGGCGGTGCGGGAGTAGATGTGGGCGCCCACCAGACACACAAGCAGGCACAGCAGAAGGACCACTGAGGAGTACAGCACTGCGTACCAGTAACCCTGGGGAAGCACCCGCACCCCCTCAGAAACTCCCGACTCTAAAACAGTAAAACAGTCACTGGGATGTGTAATAAATACTTTAGCAGAAGTAGATTAGTAAGAGACACACAACATAACCACAACCTTACCAGGATCTGAACCAAATACATCAAGTAGGGCCTCCACAAGACCAAGAACATACTCTCCACATGCAAACACTTTGGCAAGGAAGAACATCAGACCGATGCTTCCTCCAAACTCTGGGCCCAGAGACCGACTTATCATGTCTGGTCAGCTTGTGTTAAGGTTGATGTTTTGACTGAAGTAAGTGAAACCATTTTTACCATCAGAGAACACTTAAGAAAATATTTTGAAAACCTGTTTGGTCTGTAAGGATACAGTAGGCTCCACCGCCTTGTATAGCGCCGTTGGTGGAAATAGCACAGATGGACAGTATGGTAAGAGATATAATTGTGTAGGCTACAACCACCATTAAAAGACCCTGTAACAACCCCGCATGACCAACCACAAACCCTGGAAGAGAGGTCACATCAGTATGAGTCAATACAGTGCAGTGACTCATTTATACTACAAGTGATTCATACAAACATTCAGAGTCTAGCGCTTAGCTTTCTAGTCTCGTCACACACGTATCGCTCACCTGTTCGCAGGAACAGCACAATGCTGAACATGGAGAGGATGGTCGGCACCATCACTCCAAAAAAGGTATTCAGTTGTCGAGGATCGTTACTTGGTGTCCCAGAGTCGGACTCGGGTGCGGTGTCCGATGCTGTGTCGCATGCTTCGCCACATGCCAGTGTGGTCACGGAAAGACCACACGCCCCTGAAGTAACCAGACGGGTGCGTTCATTTGACATGGCTGCTAAGAAGAGCTTCAGATTAGTCCACTTGCCCTATGAAAAAGAAATCAATGGCGACAGGTTTCAGAAGGAAAAAAGTATTACTGTAGCCTCATGAAAACATGCCCACTTATGATAAGATTTTGGCATAATGTCAATTTTAAGTGGGTTTTTTTTGTATTGTTCACACTTTTGAACAAATGTAGCAGCAAATCATCAAACACATGAGCGCAGCCTTGTGACACCAATGTGCACACACCTTCCAGCAGTTGCTAAAAATGAAGATCATGCATGCATGCAACATGTCCTACATTACAGTGAATGCTTCCTGTCTCAGATGAACAAGCTGTTTATTTTAAAGAGTTGTGAGCCACTGGCAATATTATAATCTAAAACCAATTTGAATATAGTTTGAGCTTTCTGACAAGAAAAACCAACATTTGCTTTTCATACACAAGTCATTTTCAGTAGATCAGCGCAAGTATGCTAATGAAGTGCAGGTTTACCAGCAGTCACCTGATGATGTGTGGTATGCACATTATCAGGTGACTGTGATTCATCGGACCTGTTCCCAGGCACTTCTTTTTTGTCCCCAAATACATGCTTGTTATTTACTAAAACATGCAGCAAAGATCAAGCACTAAAACACCCTGAGGCTCAGGGTATGTGAAGTTTACAAACCACTCTTCTTAATGAAAGAGCAGACTCACACCTGTAGTTGGTATTTGCAGTCAGATGATTCACAGCTGCTCGTCGGTTTTCACATGCAACTCAAACCAAAGAGCAGAGCTGAGCACCGGCCCCCTCTGTGTACAGGTGACCTCAGATGCCAACATTCACCTTTACCATTCTTCCTGAAGAAGATGGTTTTCATCACTGAAACTGCTGCCAGAGCTGCCTCAACACCACCCCTCCCTGTGAGTTATTAGATCAGCTACAGAAATCACATGATGGCAAACCCTAACTAGGACAGAGGGTTTACAGATCAAAGCATGGCGTGACATACAATACAATTAAGTATTTTTAGTCAGATAGAAATTGGATAGATACTTTATGTATTAGAAATGTTTAGTGCAGATAGGATGTCTAGTTAGACTGTTAAATGCTTAGTCATGCTTATGAGTTTCTACAGGGTACATCTGGTCAAGGATAACTAGAGAGAAGAGTTGATGACTGTCAGCAGACAGGGTGTTTAATATTATTATGATGAAGCTGCAAAGCTGGCAACAGAGACGTCTCGGTTGACGTTTCTGTGTAGTATGGGGCTAGCCCAACCGAGGGGATATAATGTATAGGCCTGGTGGGTTCAGGGTCTTTCATCTTACATCTGCCTGCGAGCAGTATGGAGGTGCAAGATACCTGAACGTGTAATGTTAATTTTACCTGTGATCCTTTGAATAAATCAGCACTGTTTTGTAGTTACTTGGACTGTCTCGTCTCTCAGAGTTAGCAATGGTAAGAAGAACCAAAGTCCTTCAAGAAGTAACATCCCAATAATTGTGGGGACCCCACCCTGTAACAGACTCCTTCCTGACACCATTTAGACAGCAGAACTGTAACAATTTGTTGATTAACCAATTAATTAATCAGAATTTTCCCTTAAATTTCACTTATGGTTCCAATAATTCAAATGTGGGGATGTGCTGCTTTTCTTTGTTGTAAATGACAGTTAAGTTAAGTGAATGTGTTTGGGTTTTCAACCTTGGCTGGATTAGCAATAGGTGAACCAATGATCAATCCAGAAAATTACTGGTAGATGAATCAATCATGTAAACAGTTTTTCCAGTGCTCTGGATTTTCTGTCTACCAGTGACAGTGACTAATAGCCTTGCCTTAATAGTGGACTGACTACTTCTGATACAGTTGCACAATATTTACAAGTCTTGAGTAAAATACATCTGTTGGGACAGAGTCGCAACCCCATTGTGGTAGGATGATTTGTCAGCTATTTAAAAGGGAAGCTAAACATTCAAGTAGAAATGTTGATTAATTGTCATACGTGTAGCTACTTCCTGTGCTGTTGACGCTGAGAGTGGCATTCAGCCTTACGCTCGCGCGACTGACCCACAGAGCTCATGCTCCTGGTGTTGATGCAGACCGCCTGTACCTTGGTAAAGGCCTTCTGATAGTCCCCGGACCCTACTTTACAAACAAGTCCGTTACCAAAATTAATCACCTTTAGTATTAGGGTGGCTGAAACCGTTGCGTACCCTTAATGTCAAATGCCTAAAAAGGCGTTTAAACTGTGCGCCACATATGCATCTACCTTTGGAGTAAATGCCTGTTTACGCTATGATGCTCATGGCCAGGAAGTGACCGCGCCGGCGGTTCGCCCGGAGATAATAAAACGACGCACCCGCTCTAAGACAAGCGCTTCTGTCCTGTGTTATTTCGCATGATCCAGAATATGTGCTATGATACACAGATGTATCTATCCCTCCCGAAACGCCGAGGGCAGCCAGACTTACCTCGAGGAACCTCCCTCGAGATAGTTTCACCAGCTTCCTGCTTGAAAACTCCTTGTTTTTGCGGTCCACCGAGCCCCGCTGCGTCTACGGTGTGTTTCTGGTAGAGATGTCCCAAGTCACTCGGACAAAGTGTGACCGCAGAAGGCCAGTGGACTAAGCTGAGAGCTGTCCCGAGAGTTGGATGCTGAGAAAGATGTGCCACCCTGTAACAACAGAGCAGCCATGACACGCCTCGTCCCTCTATTATTTGTTCAAAAGCGTCACGGGACAACAGAAACTGCGCATGTGACTGCCTGTAGGGGTGGGCAGAAACATCCCATATGAGCAAAAGTTTAAATAAACACGGTCCTCGTGCAGACTACTCATACGTTATGCCACCAGCGATTTAGTAATTTGACTTCAACAGTATAAAATGGTGGTTTCAGTTTTTAATCTGTTGCATGCAATAAAAATACCATAGGCCTACACATGCTGTATGTGAGCATCGAGCTGCTGATGTAGAGTTGAAAGCCTACTTCAGGCTAGACTGTAAACCTATCATTTCTCCACACCAGAGGTCACTATTGTTACAAAGATTGTCCAGATATGCTGAGAGGATCATTATAGGTTGATTGTAACTTTATAACCTACCTGCCCATATCCTTTGGGCTCCAGAAAAAACAAAGCAGCATTAGAAATTAACAGGAGGTTTATGGATTACATGAGGGAAAGAAAAGCAGGCAGCCACTTTCACTACCTCCCAATCACTTCACAATCTCTTTTCAGGTCTTATATTAGCCAGCTAAGCACACAGAATTTAATAAACTCTGGCCACAAACAACTGCCTATAAACAAATACAGAGGATCTGATATATAAGACGCCACTTTTGTTAAATAAAATTTAACACAGGATAAGAGTAGTAGGGCTGAAGAAAGCCTGGCCAATAATTTTACTTGGCATGAAAAAAAAAACCATTAGATGGTCTACCTGCCTGCCAACCTATTTCCTACTTGCACGCACTTTGTCCTTGTACAAGCTAAGAATCTCCCACAAGGCCATGCAGGCAGATGTGTTACTGCTCTGTTTTGATAGCCTTATACAGGTAATGTTGCTGTTGACAGAAGTTGCTACCTGCAGGCAATGAGAGGAGCATGAGAGCGAGAAGACAGAACAGGCTCTTTTTACATTCAGCCAAGGGTGGAGAAAATACCTACAGTAGTCAGCTCTAAGTGTAAAGATAGCAGTATAATGAAGTTAAATTGGCATCAGAGGCCACATGCAGTGTTCGTGTTACCAAGACGAAATAAAGCCTGTGTTTTGAATGGCTTTAGCTGGTCTCCCTCTTCACTTCTTCCCCCTGGAAAAGCCTGGACGTCTAAAACTAGTTACCAGCTATAAGTCAGGGCTAAAGCAGCTTAGCTATGAACCAGACCCCCCAACCACGGTTCAGGGCCGCAGATCTGGGTGGGTAACACTGTATTCGAGAAATTTTTAACTAAAAAGATGCTAAATGCTGCAAGAAGTAAAACCAAAATTAACATTGGTGTGGGTTTTGAATGATGGCGACAACTGAGGGAACAAAAGGGGCTGAAAAGAGACGCCATGGTGGCCGTGTTTCTGCTGGACAGAGAATTATTGGTTTAATTTTGTTTAGGGGGGCATTTGTTATTTTCCTCAAATCAGTAGTAGCCAGGCAGTGCACGTTGTGTTTTGGAGGAGTGGCTTTAGACAGAAGTCAGAATGACTGGGTGGGATTTCTTTGGTTGTCTACTTTCAAAATCCAGGATGTGAAGACAGCCCTGTAGTTTGCATGTCCATGTGAAGTAACATTTTTAAGTAAAGAGGGATTTAAAGTAGCAGATTGTTGTGACAAATCTTGAAGTTGATAGACTAAAAGAATAAATCAGGACCGGCCACCAAGCACATGCATCGACAGACCCCAGGTGGTGCTCAAACACCTACCATTTTACCCTCTGACATGATAAGTGCACCTTTTAAAGGATTTTTAAAATTTTATTTTAGATTTTAAAGAATTTTATTTGCAGTCAGGGTTAAGATTGACTAAAATTTATGTGCTAATGCAAAGATGTGCTACTGCAGGTTGCTTAAAGAATTGTTAGTGAGAGGAGTGCCCCTTTTTTAGCTTGAGCACCGGCCCCCAAAAATGTCTGTGCATAGCCCTGCCAGTTACTGAGATTTTAATGGACTTCCTGGGAGTAAAATCCAAGTCATTTTTAACAGGCCATACAAAGTCTCTAGGGGTCTCCTTACTCTCTTAGCTCCATCAGTCTCAGCAGGACATTTTATATCACCAACCAGTTCAGCTCTTCCTGTTATGAGTTCAACATCAAGGAGCTGTCTGTCTTATCCCCTGACTTCCAAAATCACTAGGGATGCATGCAGTAGGCTGATATCCTGGCAAATTTGCCGTTTAAAGTGGAGAACACTGAAAACATCTGCTGCATCCTACAAAGCATGAAATGATAGGCTAACCGGGCTAAACTGATCTTTAAAAAATTCTGGGCTCCCTGAATGCCCGTGACTTGAACAGCCTGTTTTTCCTTATGATCAGGTGAACTTATTTAAGCTTATAGGCCCATTTGAAGAAATTGTCCCAAGCCTTTAGAATGGATTGATCAGAGGGGGGTTTACCACAAGAGATGGGTGTGGTTGAAACATGCTTCATGCCCGGATTTGAGGCTCCTTCTGCAAACGCTCACCACGTGACCTGGTAGCCCGTTTCTGAATGATGATATTCATGAGAGAAACAAACGGAACCGTGTGGATTGCTGAGCGAGAGGGCCCCCCTCTGTTTATACTGGAACAAAACGCACACAGCTGATCTACCCATTGGTTTTCTTGCGGTCTTTAATCTCCTCTTTCCCCACATGAGACACTTTACCGATTTTACTCAGTGCTGACTCGGAGGCGGCTGTTCTGATGGTGTGTGGCGGAGGGAGGAGGAACGGGAGGAAGGAAGCGGGGATAACGTCACGAAAAGCAGAATCCGAGTAAAACGATCTGAATAGTATTTAATGGACCATCGTTGATGCGTTCATGTACCGAGCTGGGGTTGACCGTGTTTGTTTACCCGCAAAGCCGCTGGACAGAGATGCTTTTGTTCACACGTCGGGTGTGAAAGGGGCGAAGTGAGGAAACGGCTACACAGCAGCTGATCTGATCTTTTTCCGGAGTTCTGCTAAAGCGGAGAAATGGAAATGTGTGTCCCTCTCCTCCGTTTGCCTGTTTACTGAAGGATTTGGAAACAGCCTACTGGTGACACACAGGTGGACCTCCTCTGCAGCTCAATGACTGAAAAAGACATATAGTCCCACCATTCACGGAATACTGAGGACGTTGCTTTCATTTTGTTTGCTTATTTGTTTTTAAGCTGGAAACCCCCAATCGGGAGCACTAACAGGTAGCCACCCATTATCAAACGCTGTGAGAGCATCTTTAGGGCAGCTTATTGAGTGTGAGACGGCTGGGTGATGATGTGCCTATTCCTGGCATCATTTGGACTAAATTAATTTAGCCACATCCGCATTTTGGGAGCTCAGTATGTGAAAGAAGAGCTGGGCCTTCATCAGCCAGTCTGTGCTGTGCTGTCGCCTGCTTTCAGGGGGCCTGTAGTTTCATATCTGGATACACTGGGCATTTCCAAAGGCTGCACACAGTTAAATAAATTCCTTATGAAGTACATCCGAGGCCTTTGAATCTGGCTTCTATCCGTTTCTGTTACGCGCGGATCTTATTCCAGCGCGGAGCTCCAAGCTCGGGCCTGTGTGCAGCCCTGGCAGTGAGCAGAGCCACTTTCTCTGACAGTAACACTTATTCTGTGAAACACGCAGCGGTCGTGTAAGCTGTGCACTCTCCTACAGTTGCAGATGTAGCCATGCCATGTTGGTGCAGTTACGCATCAGATGTGCGTCCAAACGGGTGGGGCCTGCAACACTCCCGCATCTTTGTGTTATAAGACGTGTTTTCAAGGGCCTGTGAATTCCCTCAAATGTTCAGGCGCTGAGGACATGTATTATTCTGCTTCAGTGAACCGTCATCTTCCTCCTCAGCAGCATCCTGGAGGACGTTAGCCTCTGGCCTGTCAGTGCAGGTGGAATCTGTTTGATGGGTCTTTTCATAGCCTACTGCTCTCTGCCCACTGGCAGGACTTCAGCAGAAAGTGTGCCCATCCTGCAGCTGATGCTCACAGGCAGTGGTGGAAGAAATGCTTAGATCCCTTACCTAAGTAAAAGTAGAAATACCACATGACAAAAATACCCTGTTACAAGTAAAAGTCCTCCACTCAAAATGTTACTTAGGTAAAACTATAAAGTAGTAAAAATGAAAGTACTCATTATGCAGAGTGGCACATTTAACATTGTCATATTATTGAATTATAATGCATTATTGTGTGCATCACATTTAATGTAGCAGCTGGTAAAAGTGGAGCTAGTTTTATTGAGCTTATATTTTGGAGCTTATACTGTGAGGTAGCTTGTGAATTTTTCACTGGAGATCAAAGTGTGATGGTTACACTGTAGTTTCTGTGTTAATCTGGTTCTGAAAAGTAACTAGTAAATAAAGTTGTATAATGAATGTAGTGGAGTAATAAGTACAATATTTGGCTCTAGTATGAAGCAGCACAAAATGAAAATACCTAAGTATACATACCTAAATATTGAACTTGAGTAAATGTACCCATCCAGGCCTGATCTGTGATGAACCCGCCCCCCCTTTCAGGGAATTACCACAACTCGTTTCTGTTTTCTGTAGTGTGTACTGTCTGCATACTTTCTGTAGCGTGTTAGAGAATTTGAATTGCTTCACGAATGCAAATACAGGCTGTTTTTGCAGCTGTTTGAATGAGTAACTGTGCTGCTATCAGTGAACAGGAAATGCTGCTTCCTACCTAAAGCATGAAGTTATGTACTGTACATTGTGTGCGACTCCAATTGGCCCATAGCTAAACGTTACCTGCTATTCTTGGATATATTTACTTGCTATGTTGACTTTTAGGAAGAACAGTGACTCAAATGACAGGGGACCCATAAAAATGACTGTGTCCACTGTTAGTAGGAGGTTGACTTGATGCATGAGCTGTATGTGCACAGTGTAACAGGTTCACTGTGTTTTAAAGGGAGTGTTCACTCAGTATCTGCTGCCCGGTAGCAATGCTGCTGCTTGATAGCAGCTTAGTCACCAGGCACGGTTGCACAGCCATAAACAGATTGTTCCTCACTATGTGGGTTCAGTAAACCCTAGAGATGAAAATGTTTTGATTTTATTATTTCTTTTCTCAAATAAGAGATACAGGGTTTTAAATAAATTATTTTAACAAATTCATTCATTTTTGATTAAAGTGGACAACCCTGCATTAGTGGATTATAAAAGCATGACAATCCCAGTAGGTCTTACTTTTATACAGGGGCACTCGTTTTTATTTATTTTGTGTTAGTAGTTTATGTAAATCAGTCTTATGTTTCAAGTCATCTCACAACCAACAGGTGACCGCTTGGACCAATCCAAAATGAGTGAGCTGGAGCAGCTTCGTCAGGAGGCCGAGCAGCTTAGGATCCAAATAAGAGTAAGTCTGGTGTTTTTGTAGTTAAGTTTTCAACATTATCATAAAAATACTGACATATTTACATGATGTGTTGTCTTTTTGTCATCTTATGATTCCATTTCTGTCAGGATGCCAGAAAAGCATGTGGAGATTCAACCTTGACACAGGTAAGACACATACAGTAGCTGTAGTAAATGTATATAGATCTTTTGAAACATTGACTTCAGTGATTATTGTTTTGGTGCCCATCAATGTGAAAACGTGATAATAAGCACATGGCAGAGACTTGACAGGTTCTGAAGGGAGTTTTTTGGTTTGTTGGAAAAAGCAGATCAGCTACTTTCTTGGTTTAATTTTACACGATGTGACAAAAACCCAGTCCCATGACTCTCAACTTATCTTTAACTTAAAGGTAGGGTTGGTGATTCCTTCCATAAGTATTTTTTGTTACATTTCTTGAATTTCTCTTTTCATCTCAATGGCAGTGAATACATTAAATGCACTGACAACATAAAGAAAAGAATCAGTCATCTGTGGCAGCAGCAGGGCTGAAAAACGCCTGACCAGTAATTTTACTCATCCCAAGTAAAACCAGTGGACGGCCTACCTGCCTGTCAAACTATTTCTTACTTGTGCGCTCCCTGCCCATGCACTCAATACATGAGCCAAGAGCAGTCCACAAGGTGTTGCGTTTGCAGGCAAATGTATTACCGCTCTGTTTTACAGATAAAGCTAGTGAGCTATGGCAGAGAGGGCACCACCACAGCTTTCATTTGCAAAGTGAGACTGTTGTTACAGTCTCAGACTGCAAGCTGTGTGCACAGTATGACAGCGAGAAGACCGCCGCATGGAACAGCCTCCATTTACATGCTGCCAGACAGTAGTCAGTGTATAGATAGGATTGTAATGCAGTTAACTGGGCATCAGAGGCCACATGCAGTGTTCCTGTTACTGAGACGGAATAAAGCCTGTATTTTGAACGGAGTTACCTGGCCTCCCTCTTCATTTCTACCTACCAAAAAAAAAAAAGCCCATACTTCTAAGGTTAGTTACCAGTTATGAGCCAGGGCTAAAGCAGTTTTACTTAGCCATGAACAGATCTGGGTGGGTAACACCGTATTTGAGAAAGTTACAACTAAAAAGGAGTTGGGTGCTGCAAGAAGTAAAACCAGAATTAACACAGCTGTGGCTTTTGAACGATGGCGACAACTGGCGGCGTGTATGCACGCAGCAGATCGGGGCCCATCGGCTCCTAACAAAATTTCGTTGTACGTGTCACAATGTTACAATGACAATAAACTAAAGCTTCTTCTTAAAAGGAGCTGAAAAGTGACGCCACGGTGGCTTTATTTCTGTTGGACAGGGAATTATCGGTTTTGTAGTAGTAGTCAGGCAGTGCGCATTGTGTTTTGGAGGAGTGGCTTTGGAGAGAAGTCAGGACCAACCCTACCTTTAAAGCTGCATGGTGAAGTGACCTCTTTTGTAGCATACAGTTTGGGAAAAAAAAGATGGTTCTAAGAGTGCAAGTAATACTGAATAAATCACCAGTCACTTAAATTTATAATGAAGTATAAGCTGTTCTCATTGCTCTTCTTTTGTCTTCAGTGTCTGATGGCTGTCACATTTTTACAGTCTCAATAAACTTGATTGTAGTACTTTGCATCGCACACACACAGTTATCAATGAAAAGGGGGAATTTAATTTACATATCCTCATAGATAACTTCTGGTCTGGATCCTGTGGGGAGGATTCAAATGCGGACGAGACGCACCCTTCGTGGTCACCTTGCCAAGATCTATGCCATGCACTGGGGCTCAGACTCCAGGTGGGTTTGTATGTTGTTGACTTAATGCCATTTACTTTACTGATGCTGTGCATCACAAAAATGGGCCATTACATTTTGCCCTGAAGAGGCTCAGAAGAAGATGAATCTCTTGAAACAGCCAGTTGCCTCCATACCAGGTACGGCTCAGTACCATTACAGCTTTTAGATTAGATAATGCATTACAGTTCAGTGTGGAGATTATGATGGAGCTACAGTATATGAAGACAGCTGTAAGCAAATGTCAGTCGTAAACTCAAACGTATCAGCCAGTCCTTCAAAACAACTTGTATCAAATGCATCTTCAGAAAATCTATAGCCACTGGACTACAACACAATACCGTGGTTGACTCCATCTCCATCAAAACCTGATCAAAAATAAACAAACAAATAGGCAATTTGTAATACACTGACCAAACTGGTGTAGGATATTTAGCTATCTTCAATCAGGTCTGAGCCCATTTTCACTTTACAGTCAATCTGTGTTGTCAAAATAAAACATTTTTTTATGTGTAACATAACATCCTATTGTCTGTAAACCTTTCAAATCAACCACATCGCATGGCATAAGGCATTTATTCTGTTATTTGGGTTCAAGGGTTTACCATGCAGCATAGTTCTGTGGATGGCAATACAGAATACTTTGGTCCAAACTGAAATAACCTTTAGATTACCATCAAATTTGGTACAGGTATAGTTATGGTGCCCAGATGATTAGTCTTAACTTTGGTAGTCCTCTGAATTTTCCATCACCAGCTAAATGTTTCACTTGGATTGGCACCAAACATTCATGGTTCTCAGAAGATGCATCTTGATGGCTTCAGTGATCCCCTGACTCTTCCTCTAGTGCCACCACAAGGTTTTAGAAATGAAATATTTAATGAATTGCCATGGGATTTGGTAGGCATATCCCCCTCAGAATGAACTGTAATAACTTTGGTGATAACTTTTAATCAAGCACCATCGTTAAGGCTAATCGTCAGTGCTAATTAGCAAACATACTGTATGATCCTGTTTTAACTTTTTGCCTGCATACCTGGTAAATTGATCACTGTGTTTCAAATGAAGATCAACAAGTCCGGCTCAATGTTCAGCACTGTAGTTGTACAAAAATGCTACTAGAAAAGATGCAGCAAAGATCTGTTTCTCTACAGGCTTCTGGTTAGTGCCTCTCAAGATGGAAAACTGATCATCTGGGACAGCTACACCACTAACAAGGTAAAATGAGCAAAATAATTTTACTCATCAGTGGATCAATAGTTGCAGTGGCATTACGTTTTTCTTTTGTAGGAGCACAGTTGACACATTTGGCTTCTTTTGCAACCATTGCTTCGACTTGGAGTGGCATTAGCATTTGAATTTGAGTGTTAATACTGGTCCATATTTATGCTCTTAAGTGTTTGCATTGGGGTTTTTTCTACCCCCAAAAAATTACGTGCGTGTTGTTTCCAAATACCTTTCCCATCCTAGATGAACGCCATCCCCCTCCGATCTTCCTGGGTGATGACCTGTGCATACGCCCCCTCCGGGAACTATGTGGCCTGTGGAGGCCTTGACAACATCTGTTCCATCTACTGCTTGAAGACACGTGAGGGCAATGTCAGGGTCAGCAGGGAACTACCTGGCCATACAGGTGAGAGAAACACGTTCGTGTTAGCGTGCTTCCCGAGTCAAACTGATGAGACATTTCAGATGAGCACACACCACTCCACTGCCTCTTGGGAGAATGCTACTCCCAAACCCCCAAAACAATGAAGACTTCATGTACATGGTTAATTAATTGCAGGGCAACACAGTCTTAATGAGCCGAGACATCAACTGAGAGTCTGTAAGACACGGATCTGTGATGCTGCAGCTACAACGCTGTTGTATGTTATAAGATTTTACACTGTGTTCTCTTTGGCAGTATCATGATATGCATTGGTGTGGTGTTTGGGGCAACAAGTATGTTGATTTCTATTTAATTATGTTTATTTTTCTGCAAATGAACACAAACTACATTTATAATCTACAAAGAAAAACAACAATTAAAATGTAGATTTCGCAAAATGGGCTGCAACTCTCCAATGCTAGAGTAACTTCCATGGGTGTATGGGAGAGGACGGCGCAGCGCCATGGTGGTTAGTGCTGTCGCCTCACAGCAAGAAGGTTCTGGCTGACTCAGGGCCTTTCTGTGTGAAGTTTGTATGTTCTCCTTGTGTCTACGTGGGTTCTGTCCGGGTGCTCTAGCTCCCTCCCCCAGTCCAAAGACATGCATCTTAGGTTGATTGGTGCCTCTAAATTGCTCGTAGGAGTGAATGCGGTGTGATTATTTGTCTACGTGTCAGCCCTGTGATGGACCAGCCACCTGTCCAGGGTGGACCCCACCTCTTGCCCAACATCAGCTGGGCCAACCTTATTCAGGAATAAGCGGTATAGATAATAGATGGGGAGGACATCACTTTAATAGCTTTAGTTTGAATGCATCGTGAGAAGCGTTAAAATAACTTAATCTATGAATGTTCTATAAAGATGCTAGAATTGACACAAAGGAGGAGCTTTTAAGAACATTGTCATGTGTTAGACATCATAAAGATCTCAAAATGATGACATACATGATCTGAAGTAGGTTTAGTGAATTAACATATAGCAGTTGTATGTAAAAATGATAATATAGCATATAGCAGTTGTATGTAAAAATGATAAAATTTGTTTCTGATGAAAATCCAGAATTCAAGCATTTGTACTCTGTTCTCTTAGGTTACCTGTCATGTTGCCGTTTCATTGATGACAATCAAATCATCACGAGTTCAGGAGACACCACATGGTGAGTCACAGAGATCAGAATACAGACATGCAGTGCAAACATGCTCTCCCAAGCTGATAGACATCTAAATTCTGCACTCTTCGCCCTAGTGCACTGTGGGACATAGAGACAAGTCAGCAGACCACAGTTTTCTCGGGCCACACCGGCGACGTCATGAGTGTGTCCCTATCGCCCGACCTGCGCACGTTTGTGTCAGGGGCCTGCGATGCCTCGGTCAAACTGTGGGACATCAGGGACAGCATGTGCCGACAGACCTTCATAGGCCACGAGTCGGACATCAACGCCATCTGTGTGAGTACAGTGTGCTAAGGGCAAGTGGGGCATTGTAAACTAAATACAAGCTGTCAAATACACATCTTTTATTCACATGATTTGGGATGGGATGGGATCACAGACAGTTTAAAGGGGAACTCCATCCATTTTTACTCAAAGTTCATTATGCTTGTTCTGGGAACTACTACTCAGCCTGTGAAAACAGCTGCATATTGTTTTCAGAAGCTCTGAAGGAACTTTGTAAAGTCAGGATTTTTTTGCCATGTATGCATAAACAGAAAGTCTAGGCATATAAGAATTCTTGTGCAGCTCTCCTTTGGTGTCAGGTAAGGAGTCAAAAGCCAGAAAGAACACAGTCTTAAAATAAAAAGTTACATAAAGGCAACAAAGCATTAAAACTGCAACACACGTAATAGTAGTCATCATTTTGCCTCATACTATAAATGTATATGGCCAGATGTGTTTAAAGGTGTGTTACTGTGTTTGCAAGATGTGAGAATTTACAATATCAGAGTCACTGAGTTGCAATAAAAAGCATAGAATTGAGGTAGTAGGTTTGTACTAGGAACAACATTAGAGAAAGGTCCGGACATGTCTGCATCCGTCGCAATGGTTTCTTTATTTAATCTTTATCTTAACACTTAACATTAGTCCTTAACATCATGAAACTGCAATATTAAATTGTGAGACTATTGAGTAATTCTGAAAGATAAATGTTTGAACAAAATAGAAAAAAAACATATTACACACACTGTTGACAGATATATCTATTCAAAGTTTAAATAAATAGCATTGGCATCAGCCCAGCTGTGGTTCACAGTGGCAGTCTACTGTGTACTGTCCTGTACGCTATTAACACAGCAGCTCTAGGATTTGATTCTGTCTCGTATCCACCTTTGGGAGGAATTTAAACTGGGAGGACTAACAAGATTATCAATGAACACCATATCTGGACATCCTGACAGTTTCCAGGTGGAATCTGGACTGATGCACCATGCAGGTTATCTGACAGCATGACAAGTATGATCCAGTATTAAAACATGGAGATCATCTCAGACTGATCAGGGGCAAGAGCCTTGTATCATATGAGAGCATGTCGGTAATGGGGAACTCTTCTCATACAGTGAATCATTCACTTCCGTTTACCCTCTCCTATTAAGATGAGCTTGATAGAGCCATCCACACTTCCTGCTTCTCATCCATCTTTCTATGGTTCTACTCAGTTCTTTCCCAATGGCAGCGCCTTCGCCACAGGCTCTGATGATGCCACCTGCAGGCTGTTTGACCTGCGTGCGGACCAGGAGCTCAGTCTCTACTGCCATGACAATATCATCTGCGGCATCACCTCCGTGGCGTTCTCACGCTCTGGCCGGTTGCTGCTGGCTGGTTACGACGACTTTAACTGCAACATCTGGGATGCCATGAAGGGAGACAGGGCAGGTGGGTGGAACAGGCAAGAGTGTGTAAAGGGATTTAGGTGAAAAGGCCTTCAATTATTTGTCTGCTGAGACTAAAGCTCACAGACAGAGATGTAAAACAAAATCTTGTGGTATGCACATATATTGATTTCTCATTGTTGACCTGCATAATGCAACAAATCATCACTGTAAATTTAGCCAACTGACTTTCAGTGGTCCTTTCTCACTGAACAAGCACCGTTGGTCTCTATTAGTCAATTTACTGAAAATAAGCAGCTACTTTTAGAAGAAGAAAAAACAAAGCCAAACACATCTGAGTTCTAGTTTACACCTCAAGCATTTCTACAATTTGCTGCTTTTCTCTGTTTTATATTATTGTAAACTACAGTAAATATCTTTGGATTTTGTTCCAACTCTTGGTTGGAGCAAAACATTTCAAGATATCATTTGCACTGAATAGTGGGACAGATTTACGTGGATAATTATGCATGATTTTGGGGTAATTGCTCTCCAGGTTTTCTGTGTTCACAGAAACAGGCCGATGTGTTCTGTGTGAAGAAGTTTCAGGCTGACTGTAGAGAAAAACTTTCCACAGCAACAAGTCATCTTTTGTTTGTCCCTCATGCAGGAGTCCTGGCTGGCCATGACAATCGCGTGAGCTGTCTGGGCGTGACAGATGACGGCATGGCGGTGTGCACCGGCTCCTGGGACAGCTTCCTTAAGATCTGGAACTGAACCATGCACATAAATAACCACACACACGTCCAGCAGACAGCGCTCACGTCTTGGGACTCAGTTTGCACCCTGTATTCACACTGTATGTAAGACTCAACAAACTGCAACATTGTACTGTACATAATATATATGACCTAGGTATGGATTTACACACAACACTGGTACAACAGCACTGTACGCAGGACAAGGTGACAAGATCTGAACACATTCCCTCTACAGCTGATTTAAGTGCACAGCAGCAAGGCTACAGTACACACACACACACACACACACACACACAATCTGTGAAATGTCCACGTGACCAAAAACACAAATGCCACTATTACCTGAAGCCTTTTAACATACACACACACACACACACTTTCCTGAGAAAAGGTGCTCCTCGAGTTAAGCAGGGGGAGGTGTTATTTGACAATTCTTTGTTTACAATGAAGTCAAAATGCACTTCAAGTTTCTGTACTCTTTATTTCAGTACCACACATTTCAGCAATGGTAATGTGAAGGAATAGAGGAGAATCATGCGAGTCAACACTGAAAAACAAATCACTGACAGACAGGCAGGACAGATGATCCGAGTATAAGAGAATAATCAGCTCCTCTTTTCATCTGGCACAAACCATCATGTAGTTACAGATTTTATAGAAACGTACACCCACATTCAGTACACTTCTTCTGCAGTTTGTTTTTAACACTTTATTCATACTCTCCCGGTGTGCCTCAGATACACTTTAACGATTATTAATATCAATATTATTATTGATACAATTAACTCAAAAAGATCTGAGATTCAGGAGGAGGGTGAAAATAATACACATTAAGACACATTGGATTAAAGCAGGAGCCAGTATTCATACTTTGACTTTGTCAATATATTATCTGGACATTATGATGGTATAATTGTACATAATATTAATAAACAATAGCCTCTCCTGTCAGTGTTGTTTATACAATGGAAAAAGTGATCAACTATGGAAAATAAATGGGTATACAGGTGCAGTCGGCCTGATAACACTGTTCTGACTGACAACACATGTTAAAATACCACTGGTAGTTTTTAAATATCATTACATCTTAGATTTTATTCTTATTTTGCATTTATTTTCAAACATTACTGAAAAGAGCTGCTTTTAAGAATTCTTCATGGGAAATTTTATTCAGTGATTTTTTTTTTTTTTAAAGGAATGTGTTTAAGAATTGTTTTCGTATTGAAGCCTATTTGTAACATGGTAGCAAATACAAAAAGACCCCCCCTTAATAATGCCTTAGTGATCTAAATAAAGTCTCTTTAAAAAAAAAAAGGATACTAGCATATCAAAAGCCACAATAGCTACAACAAAATACAAATTTGGAAATATCGCAACACCGGTCTGGAGATACGGTAGTTCTAGTTCTCCACAGAAAACCAAGTAATTTACTTTATCAATAACTTATGAACTTGTCACCAATGATTTCAGGTTTTATGAGTCAGTAGTACTCTTACTGTACAAGCAGAACAATTCTTATTGCTCACTGTTAACAGATCAGCTAAGAGTCACCTTTTGTGTTTTCACTTTCCAGCACTGAAGTACTCTGCCTTCAGCCACCAGAGGGCGCTGTATCTGTTTCTCAATATAAAGACAAAGGATTCATGTCTAAAATTTCTATTTTTATCTTTTAGGCAGTTAATTGAATCCATCCAATGGAGTCGCTGTGAGAATTCAACAGTGCCTCATACACAGTGGAAAGTGTGTCTTTCTCTGAAGCAGCAGTCTCATATTTGTAACATAGCTCAAGTCACTAGGACAAAGCTTGTAGCACCATCATGTGGTTACATATGGAAGAACAAGTCACTGTTCAGTACTACACTGTAAAAACTATGAAAATTATAGACATTTTCCACATACAAAGATGAAACAAGACCAATAGGCTAAAATGAGATCAAGGTATTTTATTTTTCCAAACAATTCTGTATTAAGACATGAATTCATTCAACAATCTTTTGAAAGTTTTAAATGTTATCAGTCTATGAAATACAATCTGGAGTTAACCTCTCACAAGTAACACAAACGCGCGCGCACACACTAAAACATTGCAAAGATGTTTACTGTCTTTAAAAAAAAGTTATTGAAAAAGAATAAAGATATTGTAGTTCTGTCCAAAGATCCACACTGTTTCAGAGCTCTTTAATTTTGATCTGCCTCACTCTCGGCTACAGCTGTTAATCCATTTATATGTTATTGATTAGAAATATAAACTATGAAGAAAGGAGTTCCTCATCTGAAGATTAGCCATCATCCATTAATCAATACATAAAAGTTCCTAAAGGCAGTTTCTGGGATTTCATAACAGCAAAACAAGGACAAGCATCCTAACAGGTGATTGTGTTAAATCGACAGAAGCGGTTATTTGTTGGTATGACAAACAAAAGTACACTACAGAACAATTTGTACAAGTCACACACAAAACAACCCACATTCAGTCTGCCAAAGGCCACTGAACAATCACTTCCTGCAAGTTGCACTGAGATGGACAGCCACCGTTCTGATTGGTTCAAATGTTTGTATTGCTTTAAAAAAAAAAAAAAAAAAAAAGGTGTCTACACCTTGAGTGCTTCACCTACATTTCACTGGTGTCGCTTTCTTTCTGACAAACTTATTTGTGCATCTTGGCTGTTCAGATGTGAATCCAGCTATCAAATCCATTCATGCTTATGGTCAGAATGGCACATCATCCCTCAAGTTGTTTCAGGACTCGACTGCTCTAGGCACAAAATTAAAATTGCACTTTCACACCTTAAGGTGCTTACGGAAGAATAAAAATCTAAACTACTCCTTTTTGACCAGGTCAATTACAGGAATTTCTGCTGCATAAAATTAGGCGACCAGGTTCATATTTGGTGACTGTCAAAAACTAAACGTGGATGCAGTATTTATGACAAGACATCCGTGTTGGGGTCTTTTTATACTGAGAAAACAAATCTACTTGCAATGCTATCCAGAAAAATATAAACCAGGAAATAAAGATGATTAAATAATTATGGTGTTTTACATTCTTTAATTTTTAGAAATAGCAGGAGTATGTAACATAGGAATACATAGTCCTGTAAAAGCAGCACAAATGCGCCAAATTTAAATTGGGCAGTCAGGTATTTAGCTGTTTGTGTCACCTGTGCAGCCGAGACATATCTAACTGAACTGTGAATGTAGTCTGATGTGCCACACTAAGCTTGTGAACTACAAGCCAGAACTCTGCCAAGGTTACAAATGAAAGCCTGTTTACAGGTCCTGGGAAGTTCTAATACATAATACACTGTACCAGAGTGTGTCCAACACACCTGGCCAATAAATGCTAATTCTGATTTGTGATTAAAGTTGTGCAAAGATTTATTTATTTTTTTAAATTTTTTTTAAAGGAAATGCTTGAGGCTACATTAGCTGCTACTAGCATAACACACCAGAATGTCTAACCACATTGCTGACAGTCAAGATGGATGGATCATGGGTAATGTAGAGAAAAATGCCTGGAATAAGGTAGCAGATAGCTCTGATTCTGCTGCATCTATCCACTGAGTCAGACAATAATCCAGATGTGCAACACTAAAGCAGTGGAATATTGTGTCACTTAATTTAACCACACAATGTATAAAACAAATCAAAAGTTAAAACCAAGTCATGTCTGTGTATTTTAGTTAGACTAAGATTTCAGAATTGGAAGTTTTCTAGTATAATTTTTGCAACACTTGCGAGCCAAATGCCATGCACTGTTGCTAGGCAGCACGAGATGCTTCAGACAAAATGTCTGAGGAACTGTCTGACCATCACACTGCAGTTAATATTTGGGGAACATTAGAAACACACTTCTGGACTCTCACACCTGGTGACAAGAAAATAGCAAACTAAAGGTAAAATGTCACCAAAAAAACAACAACAAACAAAACAAAAATAAACTACTGTCTTTGTTGACATTCTGTAAGAGTCAACAAATGACTTTCACTTGCTAAATGCAACCTATTTGTTACAAAAAAAAGCCAAGAGCCATTATGCCATCACCATTGCACCACCAGTCTGCTGTCACCTGAGCATATCAACAACCTGCCAACCCCACATAGGAAATTTACACCAAAGACCAAGAGTCCAACACCCATCTGTGAGTCACCATGTGTCTGAATCACAGCCACAGTGGACTGTTGTGGTAACTAGAAGAGAGACGTTATATTTCTGTTTGGATAACACGGCAGAAATATTACAGTAAACGATAAACACAGCTGTCTCAGCAGACTAATTTGATGGGTGACGGGGGTGGTGGGGAGTCCATCTTTGTTACACTCTATAGCTTTGATCTCTCTGGCTTAAAATACATTGTGCTTCGATTAATAGAGTAGTACACATTTTTATATAAATACAAATCTGTAGATGTACATTCACTCATTTCTCAATATAGACTAATTTACAAATTTTATAAAATAGGCTTCTCAGAATATATCAAGCTACTTTCCCCACTACGAGATTACACAACACCATTAAAGAAAAAGCGCTTACCTCAGTTTGGCTGCAAGAACCTACATTTTCTGAGCAGACATCACACACGGATTAATTTGATCTGTGCACAAGTACTAAGTTGTTTCTACAAACATGTTTCATATATATATGGCTTTTCTCTATGCTGGCTCCCACTGTGAGTAGATCCTCTACATTTTACACTAGATTCATTGGACATTTACTTTTTTTTTTTTATTGCAGCTTTCTGAACAGATTATCATCTGTTGATCATTTTAGGTCATATCTCTAGTGCCAAAAAAAAAAAACCAAAAACAAAAAAAAAAAGCTTATGCCCCTTTACAGGCTAATCTAGATTTGACTTAAGGGCACTTAACTGGCACTGGACATTAATCATAACCAGGGAGCAAATGTATTTGTGCCTCTTTATGCGATTTGGGTAAGAGAATTGGGGGGTGGGGGGCTCACAACCCATCCTAAAGCCTCTCATCATCCCAACTCCAAGGCACTGCTTAAACTGTAAACATGGCAGACTGATTAAAAATAATGATTTTTACCATGAAAAGCATGAGCGTTGGAGGGATTGTAACTGAACATTTCAAAATGTAGATCATGGCACTGAAGTGTTTCAGAATGAAAACACATTTGCTAAACGGGAATACAACTTTGATAAAGTACCATATACTCTATTTCAATGGTTTACATGCACAGCAACATCTGCTCGATATATTTATAAATGTTTTCTGAAATGAAAGTGCTTTCCATGCCCGTTTAGTTTTACAATCTCACCATAAGATGAGCTCTGAACATATACTGCATACCTATTAGCTTTCTTGCTTAAAGCGTGACTTTTAGCAGCCTTTCCCACTGATCACCAGCTAAGATTCCTTTCATAGCATCCTAAAGCTTTTCATACTTGCACATTCAAAAAAAAAAAAATTACAGTTGCATTCTTTTAACATGTCAGCAACCACTTAAGTCGATAAACTAAACTGCTGAGAGAAAAAAAAAAAAACATATTATCCCTCCATGCTGACAAGATGTGATAGGAGCGACTAAAACCATCTCGACTTTTAATGTTGATACCAAAGTGCTGCACCAGCACAGTGTTGTAATTAAGTGAATCATTGAACAAAAAGCTTGATTCATGTGCTGACCTACTGTAGCCACTGCAGACAGAAAATTACCTGCCTACTTCCCGACAGGCTCTGGATCACCCTCACTCGGTACTTCCACCATGCTGCCTGCTGTATTGGAGCACACAGTATTTCTCTCATGTCTCATGTAGTTGTT